AATTTGGATTTAGAAGTAAATCCAAATTCAAAGAGACTTAAAGCCCTTCTCCACTTCAAGATGCAGAACTCTGATCTGGTTGTGGGTCACTTATTCTCTCAAAATTCTGATGGTATGTTGCTTGTGTAGTGTTTGTCAAGTTCAGAGGACTAGAAAACACTTCACACTTCAGTCATTCACCAATTCACACGCTGATGGTGGCAAGCTACCGGATAGTAGCCACAGCTGCCCTGGGGCACACTGACAGAGCCTCTGACCACCACCACACCGAAGTGACGTGTCTTATCCAAAGACACAACAACAGAGCCAGAAGGAGCCGGGATCGAACTGACAACCCACAGGACGAACTCCCACCATCGCCATCATCGTCCCTCATCTCACAATCTGTCCTCGTGATGTTGATGAGGAGATTCTGTCAAAGTACAACAATGACTATTTCCATAGATCGTCCTTATATCTCCTTTCAGTTTGTGAGCAAGTGACTGTTTCTTCTACCAGAATCTTAACTCATTCTTGGTCCTTATGAAGACATGTTCCTGTGTTATGATCAGCAATAATCTTTAGTTATTGCTTTGTTGCCTGGAAGCTTAACTTGTTTCCCCATTTTGCCCAATCCGGAGTTCCTCTTTTCTGGTTCTGCCCTCTTTTCCCTTGTCTGTGCATCACGCTAGAACTGGTAGGCAAATCTTTGAAAGATCTCGCGGTTGCCTTCCTGTTACGCCGAGGTGCATGAACCCTAACATCAAATAAACTTCCTCTTTATGCTCATGTTATAGCTTATCATAACCTGTTTTTACTGTCTGTCCCATTGCCACATACCTCTCTGTCACAAACAGCTTCTCCTTTTCACTCACTGCACTTCTTGGTAATCTTCTGTCCCAGTTTTACCAGTGTAATATACTTTAAATCTTTACGATCAAATCATTATTAAAATCACAAAGACTTACTTCAAATCACTGTTCAGGATTATTCAATATTGATATTTGCAATAATTAACACCCCAAAGGTATCAAAAATCATCTTCCTATTAAATGCTCATAATTTTAACTTGCCCATAATGTAGCACACATAGCTTAAATCATTTTTACATCATTACAATTTTCTGAAAATCACATATTCTTACGATAAGGTACAGAAAGAAAATTATCAAAACAAGATTCACTTGGAACCAAATAGCTAAGAAAATTATTGAAGTCTTATTCTGCTAGTTTTGGAAATTTCTTTGTATTATAAATCTTTAAAGGTTTATTTCTACGTCTAATCAGGGACTGATTCTTCAATTAGTCTTTGACTTGAAGGCCTGTAGACGGGATAACTTTCTTTTAAACTTAACATAGTTTTATGTCTTTTTGATGCTCAAATAAATGTAGAAATCTAAATATGCAAGCCCTAATTCTCTAAACTTCATTCTTTCACTGTTACGATGGAATCAGCAACCCTGGATAAATGAGATGATTTCACAATATATTGAAAACCTGCATGCCTCGATGCTCTGTGGCGTTGCTGCTGTTATTAATTAATTTCCCCACTGTGGCACAATAAAGGATAAAGCTATTTATGTTGCATTTCTAATAGTTACCTGAGCCAAACGTTGCAGCGATCCTTGTTGCCAAGCATTGGCTTTGGCATTTATTAATAGTTATTCATTACAAAGTCAAACCTTTTCTTGCAAAACATTATGATGATCTAAGTTAATTTGCTACTTCTTAAAAATCCAGTCAAACTGGGCAAGAAAAGAAAAAGGCACAACCCCCAATTCTGATTCTGTCATGTATTAACTTGTGAAACTGGACCTGACAACTCTTCTGTGTGACATCATCTTAGCGCTACAAGGACATCTTATCAATGCACATTGATATATCTATGCAGCTGTCACTCTGAGCTACATTTAGTTCTAACAGCTGCGTCCCTCTGATCACAGAAATGACAAACAATCTCAAAAACATCATTCTAAATGGGTGTTTTTCCCAAGTTATTTGCATTTCACAAGTAGGTAAAGAGTGATAAAATAAATAAAAATCTACACACCGTTATATTTTTGACAAGTAATGTGTTTACTGAAAGCTTTTATTTTGTTCTACAAATATGAATTTTAAAACTTTGTGTTCAGTCCATCAGTTTTTACCGTATTTTACTGAGATACTTCATGCTTTATTGATGTTAGAATACAGACAATATAAAATAGAATGAAAAATAATTAAAGAAAATCAACTGCATTTGCAATAATATCAAATGGTAAATGGTCTGTACATGCACAGCACTTTACCAAGTTCAGAGGACCCCAACTGCTGAACACGATGCATTCATTGATTCAAACATTCACACACTGGTGGTGGCAGGCTACTGGATTGTAGCCACAGCTATCTTGGGCCCAGTCTGAAAGAAGCACCTGGTGATTTAACACTTTGCAAAAACCATGACATAGAAAATAACTGGTAACTCTGGTAAATATTGTCTCCATATTATTTACATGATTTCTTCAGTTTATTTCTAAAGATTACATACAATCTTACTAAAACTAGGATGCACCGACTGGAGTTTTCTGACCATTCGCCAATCTTTAAAAAGTCTGACCTGCCGATTACAGTTTTGACCTATACCAATTTTTATTTTATTTTTTTGTCTAAAATGTCACTAAATGTAGCAAGAAAGTAGTTGCGTTGGTAGTGAGGTGAATATTGATAATTGCAAACATGCAGACATGACCCGGTGGGCCGGTCTGTCGGTCTCTCAATTGAGAGGACAGAGGTTCGAGATTTACACCTTTGCAAACTGAACACAATTTGTAAACAGAAATATTTATCAAATTCATCCAGTTATTTAATCTCAATCAGTTACATATAGTTCAATTTTATCTTAGTTATAGTACCTAATTTTCAAATATGTTTTATCATTCCCAGTAATGTTTCTTTTGAATGCAATTATCAACAATTTGCATGGATAGTGAAGCTAATTGTCTTTAAGCATTAAGACAAAATGGCTTTGTGTGATGCACAGAAAACCAAAGGTCACTTTACAGAGTGATAGTCATGTGCCATAAAGTTGGAAAACAATTTATCAGCTCCTGTGTACAAGAACAAATTTGCAGTCTCATAAAACCACAGTTGAGAAGTTAGCACTTCCTTCTCATGTACATTTATCGGCTAATAAAACACAAACAGGGAACAATCACCAGCTCATCTCCGGCCAAACAAAACCAAAATCTGATGTTGACTCAGCCAGTGACTCACTCATGTGGACTTTGTTCCTTACTAATTTCTTCTATAAAAGGGAGAACAGTGGGAGCAGCCAGACGTAGAGCAAGCCACCGGAGAAAAGGTACCAATGACACTTTCATCCAACTCTTCGACTGTGCAAACCTTTGTGGTTGACTTCCAAAACCTCCAGTGTAATCTTTTTTTATGATTTGTTCTTTTAAACAGTGCAGAATATTCTGAAGAAAAGGCTTCATCATGGCTCGACTGACCATCCTGGCTGGTAGGTGAATTATTTTGTCTTTTAATATGTTCCAAGAGCTGTTAAGAAAAAAAAAAATTAATTAAACTTTTTTTTCAGGATTGGCACTTCTGATGTGTCTTCAGACTGGTAGGAATTATATATTTTTTTTTATTCTGGAATTTCCAATTAAGTCACAGTTTAAATATAAACCTACTAATGATCCTTTTTTTTCTTTTATTATAGTTTATTCCACCAAACTGGTGTGCTACTTTACCAACTGGTCCCAGTACAGACCAGGGGGTGGAAAATTCACCCCTGACAACGTAGATCCAAACCTCTGTACGCACCTCATCTACGCCTTCTCCATCATCAGCTCCTCCAATGAGCTGGCTACGTTTGAGAGGAACGATGATGTTATGTACAAATCCTTCAATGCGCTGAAGAACAGGTGAGCTTAGTATCACTTCAGCTTCCCAATAAACTATTAAAACAAAGCTGTTTGAATGCATTCTTGTAATGCACTGCATGAAAAACTTACAAGAATTTTAAGCATTTGAGGTTCGGAAAAATCATTGTGAACTTTACATGAGCACAAACAGCCTGGTGGAAATGACACATGATAATAAAAACATTTAGAATAAAAAAAAAATCTCTTTTATTAACTTTAGTATTTGAATTGTTTTAAACTGTACGTTTTCTTTCCAGATATTTTGTTTATTCTATTTTAACACATAACTTGAACTGCCAGAACTCTGTCGGATTGCTTTCCTTTCAACATGTATAAGTGATGAATATATTTCTACGTCTTCACAACAGAAACCCTCAGCTGAAAACCCTGCTGGCTGTCGGTGGGTGGAACTTTGGAACCACACAGTGAGTCTGCAAAATATAACAGCTTCCAAACATACGCTTTTTAATGAATTCCTTTATGGATCATTAAAAAACGTTTTAACTGAAAAACCACTAACCTATGTGAATATTAACAGATTCAGCCTCATGGTCTCGTCTCCGGCCAACCGTCAGGTGTTAATCCAGCCTTCGATCAGATTTCTGAGACAACATGGCTTTGATGGACTAGATCTGGACTGGGAGTACCCGGGATCACGAGGAAGCCCACCAGAGGACAAGCAAAGGTTCACGTTGCTCTGCCAGGTTAGGATATTCTGATGCATTGATCCGAATTCAGTGGCTGATTTCACTTCTCCAATTTTTGTAACTATTAATGATTTTATGCATTTAAACCAGGAGAAAAGCCTTTTCTCATTTGTGAGTGTATGGCCTCTGCACAAGGTTTTAGAACCAGGACAAAATTATATTGGAGTGGGTGTTATAAACTGCTTTCAGAACTTGCCGAACTCTGTTTGTATCCCTAAATAACGTGAAAGCACACACGCTTTGTTCCATTGAGTCTTCCCATTATTAGATAAATATCCTACTTTCTGACTCTTTCAGATAAAAGACATATTGCTTCCTCTAACTTAAGTGTTCTGTACCTCACAGACATTTGAAATGGGTCATTTGAGTCTAGCTCTTTTAGTCAGTAGCAAGCTTCCACAGCCAAGAGTTTTGTTATCTGCATTATCTGTTCGTGTCTATCGATCTGAAAACGGCTGGCTTTTTGAGTTTCTAGCCAACAGTTTACCAGAGGCTCTGGTTAACAATTGATTTCTCAGAGCATTTCTACGTTTGGATGAAACTCGGGCAGAAGTCTTAACACATACAATGTTATTTTCCATTTAGGAATTACTTGCTGCCTTTGAGAAGGAAGCCACTCAAACCAATCAGCAGAGGCTGCTGCTCACTGCTGCTGTAGCGGCTGGAAAGGGAACTATTGATAAAGGCTATGAGATTGCTACTGTGTCCAAGTGAGTTCATTTGAGTTAAAGCTAAAGACGTTACATCTTTTGAATTAGAAACAGGAACAAAGATTGACAAATTCTTAGTATTTACTGACAGATAAAAGCAAAACTTGTGATGTCAAGTTGCAAAAATATACAATCTGTTGCACTTTTGTATTTTATTCTTACAACAGTTATCTAGACTTTATAAGCGTCATGACCTACGACTTCCATGGAGCCTGGGATTCATTCACTGGCCACAACAGCCCTCTGTACAACAGCTCTGTCATGCATGGTCAACATATCTACTACAATGTTGTAAGTAAAAACATTCAACAAACCCATGCTAGATCCAAGTAAGGTGATATTATTATCTATTTGGTTAAACGTTGTCATTTTTTGCTGCAGGACTTTGCCATGAGATACTGGAGAGACCAAGGAGCTCCGCTAGAAAAGCTGCTGGTTGGTTTTCCCGCATATGGTCGCACATTTCGCACGTCATCAGCAGCTAGTGGTGTTGCAGCACCAGCGAGCGGACCAGGCACTGCTGGGAACTACACCCGGGAAGCAGGAATCTTGTCCTACTATGAGGTAACAATTCAATATAGTGCAAAATCAAACTAAAGAATTTTCTTAGATAAACATAAAGGGATACTCAAAATTAAAAAAAAAAAAAAAGTAAATGCAACAAAATTGGGATGATATTTAGGTTTATCGTCTTGTATCTACAGGTTTGCACTTTCCTTGATGGAGCCACCACTCACTGGATTGAGGAGCAAAAGGTTCCCTATGCAGTCAAAGGCAATCAGTGGGTGGGATTCGACAACAAGCAGAGCTATGCGATCAAGGTAATACGTCATCCTTTGGATACAATAATAGCTACAATACAAATAAGGAAAGAACGCTGCATGTCCCTGTCCATCCCAGTTTATGCAATGACCCTATGAATCAGGACAAATTCTGTGCAGCTATGAAGCCAAAGATCAATCACACATATTTTAATTACCAAAACTGGGCAGAAGATGGCAGTATAGTTACAATAGTCCAAATCTTACCTCTGATGTGACATCAATTCCCATCTATTGGATACATTCGTGTTATTTTTTTATTTTTATTTTTTTTACAACCCTCTGACGAGTAGTTTTTAGTCCTGCTAAACCCCAGATTCCTTTTTTGATTTCATTAAAGAAAGAAAGAAAGAAAGAAAGAAAGAAAGAAAGAAAGAAAGAAAGAAAGAAAGAAAGAAAGAAAGAAAGAAAGAAAGAAAGAAAGATGGACATATCAGATGGACAAAAATCCATCTGATATGAAAGAGAGAAATATATGTTTATATCTTAAGTATGATTATTGAAACCCCAACAAGCAGATTTTTATTTAAAATTTCCAGGAAATTTAATACATTTGTAATGCTATGCACTGTAAGTAGCTTCCCTAGATCTTTTAGGAGAAAAACAGACTAACACCATCACCAATCCTTCAACATATTGCCACTGCATGAGTGACTTTTCTATGTATTCATGTTTTGCTTGAAGCCAAGCTGAGTGTATTTTTTATTTTATTTTTTTTTGCAAAAAATATAGCTACAAGTTATGAAGGTAATGCAGAAAGAATGCCAGGAAAAGGCTTTTTTTTCCATGCAAAAACTAAGTTAGTAAGTAGGAGAGTTGGAGTCCCCCAAGATCCAATTTGCTCTGGTCCAGTTTTCTAAACAAAGTTCTTTGTTTTTTTTTTTTTTTTGTTGTTGTTTGTTTGTTTTTTACCTCTCCTTCTGTCCTGCTTCCTGTTTCTGATGGCAAGATACATTTAGTGGCTCACAGACATAAAAACCCTGACAAAAAAAGGTACATTTTTTACAGTACAGGGCAACATATAGTCATTACTTACTAATTAGAAACTTCTAAACCTTCTTCAATTTAAAAAGAAAAAGGTTTAAATTCACATAAATTTACTTGAAGTGTTGATTTTATTCAGTTTCAGTGCTTCAATGCCTTTGTACCAATATTTTTAAGCTAAAAATTGTAATAAGATAAATGTCTACACAAAATCTAAAGTAATTCAGAAAAATGTAATAAAATAATTGAAGTAATACAGCACTTTGCAATGTTTTCATGTTAATGCATCATGAAAATAAATTCCCAACATAAAAGACCTAGCAAGTCTGCTGATTAGACTTTGACTCGCACACTGCATGTATTCCTTGTTTCTACTTCCTTTATTTAAGAAACATTTCTAAAACACTAAACATTGTCTCCTGACAATATTACTCATTGCACAACTGCATGACACTGTTCTGTTCATGGAGCACCCAGCCAACCTCCTCTCGCCTAAAATATTTAAAACTGTTTTTGTTGTGGTCAACAGGCACAGTATGTGAAAGACAACAACTACGGTGGAGCGTTCGTCTGGGCTGTGGATCTGGATGACTTTTCTGGACAATTCTGTGGTCAGGGAAACTATCCTCTCATTGGATATCTCCGCTCTCAACTGCAGTCAGGTCGGACATCAATCAGTGTCATTATTTCCTCTTCTACGAAGCATTGGTTCGCTTGCCTTAAAAATCGCATGTGTTTTATGTTTCTAGGGAATAGTTCCATCAATACCACAAACCAGCCTGGCGTTCCTACAACCACAGCAGCTCCTGGCATGAAAACAACCAAAACTCCTGCACGTAATTTCTGTTTAGGCAAGACTGATGGTAACTACATCAATGAAAATAATAGACACACCTTCTATCAGTGTGTCGGCGGAATCACCTACACACAGATATGTCCTGCTAATTTGGTTTACAATGCCACGTGCGACTGTTGCGATTATAATAAGTGATTCAGTCAAGCTTTTGTGAATTTAAATGCTGGATGGACAGCGTGAATACAATGTCCTCTCTCACTCTACAGCTGTGTTCTTGGTGTAAAAGTTTAACACCCAAAAGGAGATTTATTTTTTTCATATCTGCTTAGATGTTTCAAATGTACTGAAGTAATTTGTAATGTGTAGAGACATGCATACCAAAACCTTTTAATAAATTTTCCTGTTTTTGCTTCCTCACATTTCGTTGCCATCTTTCTTGTTGCAGTGCAGTACTGCATCATTATTTGACATGTATGCTGAATATAATGAGTATTTGGTGTATATCACATTATTATTTGGAAAGTCAGTTGTTGACAAATCCTAGAATATCAGGGTTTTTTATCCAGTTAATAATGTCAGTGTAATAAGTAAAGTAAGTACATTTTATTTATATAAAATTTATTTATTTATAAGTACATTTTATATTTATTTATCAGACAGCAGTCACAAAGTATTTCACAGTAAAAATACTAAAACAAAAAAAATGGTAAAATGAATTAAAAAGAAACTAAGAAAGAGACATTTATGTCGGCATGTGTATGGTTTTTGCCAACAACAGTATAACAGTCAGAAAATATTCTCAAATGAGAAATTATAGAACAAATTAAAATGGTAAATATACCAGCCAGTATGCATAAGAGTATTAATTAACATTATGTTTTTAAAAATCATGTGACGTCCTTGTGGAACAACAGGATAGTTGTTAGTGGACTGGTAGCATCACTAGATTAGAAGTGATTCTGTATTCAGATGTGGCTTATTGAGCATCAGGTTCCAATCAACAGCTTGTGTAAGAATCTTTTCTCATATTAATTTTAACTATTTAAGAAGACGGTCGCTTCCCTTGATTAATCCCAAAATTTAAGTAATTAATGTAGGTCACATAAATATTAAAGCCATTTGGATTCAGTAATATTCCAAGGCGGTTTTCTGATAATTGGAGATCTATACATCATATTTTTTTTAAACTGAAGGAAATGTCTTTACATTGTTTCACACAAAAAAATTAAGTTCCCAGAATTTTAAACTATTTATTTATTAACTAGGAAGCAATTTCCCTGAAATGTGATCCCTATACTGTATGATGACTGAACATATTGTAAAGATAACAGGAAGAAACATCTTATCTATAGATATAGGTATATCTATGTGGTGTCATTGTATACTAGACAATGTCAGCATTATACTGGATTTCCATCCATTCATCCACCGTCTTTACCTGCTTTTCTGTGCAGCATTGCAGGGAGGCTGGTGCTATTCTCTAGAGGGCATCAGTGGGCAACAGTCAGGGTTCTCCATGCACAGGTCACCAGTTTATCACAGGGCAACACAGAGACACAAACTTGGACTTCTTAATGCCTCAACATAAACTTTGTTTATAGAAGTGCAGTCCCTCTAACGGTCATTCCGCACTCGGCTGTTTTACGCTTTTTTTTTCCTTTTTTAAATCATTCATGTTCATACTAAACTAAGCTAAGCTAAGTCCTTTAATGTCATAATGAAAACTCATTTCTATTAAACAATAATTAAATAAGAATGTGAAACAGAAAATAGGTGACTGCATAAATATACACCTACTTTAAATTGACCTAAATCAACTTGGGTCCTATCAGTTGGTGATAGTAGTGAGTGGAAGAGAGATCACCTGAGTGTCTGAAGTGAATAAAGAAAGACACCTGTGTCCTGAAGGTTCGTCCCCTGGTTAATCAGTATTCCAGGTTACCATTAAAACATGAAGAGTACAGAACACTACAAGCAAAGCAGAGAAAAGGTTACAGAAAAGTATTAGTCAGGGGATGGACACAAAAAAACCTCTAAGGCACTGAACATCCCCTATGTTTAGTTAAGTTCATCAACACCAAATGGAAGAAATTTGACACAAACTTCAGCAACTAAGATGGGTGAGATTGCATACAACTGTTACCCAGTCAAAACTTTGAGAGAGCACAACTGTTCAAGCCAACCAATATCAAAGGGTCCTGTAGAGTTTACCAAAAGACATGTAGGAGCCGCCATGCTGGGGTGGAAGAAAAACAAACAATGTCAACCTCTGTTAGTACAAAGACTTATAGGGCTGTAAATGTTTAAGTCATGAAGACAGTATTGTTATATTAAGGTTGGTTTGAACTTTGACTGTTTTTAAAGTGCCCGACTTGATTTTCTTAGTCTGTGTGAAAGAAGTTTCAAGGACCCAGTCCTGGAAGGACTGTGCAATACTTTAACCTAATTAATATTCAATGTTCTAGTACTGACAGGCATTCATTTGGGTTGATAAACTGGTTCTTAAGATTGGAAGAGGTTTCATTTGTTCCTTTACATACTTATACAAGAGGTTACATAAATGTTAGGTCCCATCTTCTTTTCATTATCTTCTCAAGGTTTAAGCTAAGGTGTAATTTTTTTTTTTCAATTATAGATTTGACTAAATACATACAGTATGTTTTAAATCACCTTTTCGGACAGATCTAGATCACCATCTTATTACTATATTTTGATTTTAGGTGGATAACATTATAATCGTAACATAATCTTAAATAAAAAATAACCAAGCTCTACAAGCTTACAGATTTTAGCAGAAAACATTAACAGTGACACATGTATTGCACCATGTTCTAAAAGTTGTTTTTTTAAATCTGCAAATAGAGCATGGAGTTTGCCCAAATGTGCAGCAACTCCCAATGGACTCCCATGAGGTCAAAGGTCTTCCACAAAACATTATCTGGATGTTGCAACAGTTTAACGTCCTAAACTTGAAAATAAAACTTTCCTGAGTCATCTGTTATCAATATGTCTGTTTGCACAAGTCTGTTCTACTTTCAAGGCACAAATTGCCACCAGAAAACCCATTCCAACAGGTTTTTATTTTTAAGCAGTCTATAAACAACAATATAAATGCAACTAAAGACAATGATTGCTGTAACTGAACAGAGCAACGCCAACAACAAATTAATAACTTTTTCAGTTTGTGGGGGAACAGTAGCACTTTGCAGTAAATTAAAAGAGAAAGAATTATGCAAAAGACAATACATATTTAGCTGCAATTTATTTTATTAAACATTGATGAATTTCAGTCGTTACATGAAAAAAAAAACATTAAAACAGATCTGTTGATAACTGTCATCTCAGTGCATACCGCAAAAATTAAATTATAACACTGTTAACAGCAGCTCATGAAATAATTCTTAGAGTGAACTGAATCTTTTTTTTTTAGATTAAGGCGGCAATCTACCAAATAATCCCCATCTTATCCTCCCTGATTATTTCACAGCAACAAGGTCATCTGCATTCTTAACATTCGCTATCAAACTGCTCTGCCTTTCCAACACCAATGAATATTTTTCCTTAGAGTTCGTGAATAGAGGCGTGCAGCTCAGGAAGCTTTTGAATGTCACAATTTTGAAAAAGATTAAAATAAAACACGACAAGCTCCTCATAGTTCTTTTTGGAAATCCTTTCATTTATACCATGGAACCTGAAAAATAAGCACAATTTCAAAAAAACATGCTTGTTAATTACAGGATCTCGTTACTGGATTCATTCTGTATTCTTTCGTGTAGGTAAATTCAAAAAGATGTGGAAAATTTCACTGGGTTACAATTTAAACTATAAACACACATTAATATAATGTTTTTAGGGCATCACAAGAGAAAATGAAACAGGGTTCCTTTTATTCTGAGTGTTTTTTTAGGTTCTTACCTTTGAGCATCGCCTGGTTTGAACCAGACTGGAGCAAAGCGATAAATATCATTACTGAGGTCTTTGAAATGCCGACTGTCTGTGTTCCCAATGCAAATACCTGCACATTTAAAATAACTTAATAATCAAATGTTTTCTAGAAAAACACAGGTTTTACTACTAAACTACACTTTATCTGTGCATACCTGGAGCAACTGTAAGTGTGGGGAACATGTCCAACACTGTTTTCTTTATGATCTGAAACCCGAACGACCGTTCATCAGACGAGCTGACGGGAAGTGGGTCAAAGCCATCAATAAGTTCTATTTTCACTCGCTGGTCCCCCACAGTGGCGTGGATAAAGTCCAGGACCTGGACAAGACAGAACGCAGCTCGTTCAACTCAAAAGGTTACAGTTATTCCAAGAACGAGGAATAAAGTTTCTGTTCTCGCCTCTTGCAGTGTTTGTGCAGAGTGGATTCGCAGATTTACATAAGCTTCAGCAAGGGAAGGAATGATGTTCACCTGAAGAAACATAGGTTATACTGACTTTATATTAAAAAAAATCTGAATTACTCACGGTTTAGAAACCAATTTTTATACCTTGACTCCTGCGTTGAACATGGTCACTGCTGTGGTTGTCCTTACAAGAGCATTAGTGTCTGGCTTTCCTTCTAACACTCTGCAATAAAAAGCACACAAACAGTTTATTTCAGGTGAAGAACAATGTGATATGACTGAAACATGTGATGTGATTACCTGCCAAGGAGCGGCGAGAAGAGCCATAAGTTTGACATTATGAACTTAAGAGGAAGCCCAAACTGAAGAAAAACAGACGGTTTGTAGGAATATGTAAAATATCTTTTGTTAGCACTGTGACTCCTATTACCTTGTGGGCCAGATGTTCAAAGGTTTCCCGTTCAGGACCATGACCAAATAACCTGGGCAGGGGATTTTCTTCAAGTCTGCAGATGTCATACAACAAAAATGTGCAAAATGCTCAACTCGATTAGAATTTGATGCAGTGACACATCTAAAATAGTTCTCACAGCAAAAAGAAAAAAGCTGAAGAATTAAACCTCGCACCTTTTAACTGCTGCAGCCAAGATCCCAATGCTGGACTCCCTGGGAGGCATCGATGAGTGGCCAGGCGCCATAGTCACACTAAGCTTCACATTGGCTGAGCCTTTTTCACTAACCCCAATTCTGTTAAAATGATACAATGATGGAGAGACGTTTTTGGTCATTACCGTCTGTAATTTTGAGTTCCTAAAGATGCATTTGAACGATTCTTTTTGTCAGGATGGAGGAAAAAAAAGCTCAAACTGCAAATAACTTGGGTGCATATGCTTCAATTATTAATTTTCTGAGTGAACACAGTGATCGATCAATCAACTATTTTCTTTCTTAAGAATTTCTTTTTTTTTTTTTTACCATATACTCCTCTGAAACATTTTCCTTAAAAAAATGCTTCAACCATAACTATCGTGCTCAAACTGAGTGTGGGAAATTCTCACAGAGCT